GGCGCCGGCCCTTGTGGCGGGGACGGGAGCTGAGGACAGACACGATCCCGGGTGCTGCTGCTCCCGCGCGCCCTCTGCGCCGCAGGGCAAGGCCTCCGCGGCCGGCCCTGAATCACCCTTCGGCCGAGGCTCGGCAGGACGGGACCCGTTTCCAAGGGTGCCCCGAGCCCACGGGCGTTTGTGGGCTGACAACCTGAGCGCTCCCCGAGATGTCAGCGCCGGTGTCGGAGCGGGAGCTCCGCGTGCTCGTGCGGGAGCCTTGCCGCTTCGGAGACGCCCTTGCGGGCGCTGCGCCCTCGGGATCGTCTGTTTAACTTCCTGTGGCTGGCAGATTAAGCGAAAGGACATCCTGACCTTGGGAAAAGCAGGATTTCCCGGTTCCCCCTATACCCATGGCAGACAGAAGCAATCTGAAGCTGGAGGCAATTCGTGTTCAGGGCTTAGTTGTGAGGAACCACTGGTGTTCTGAGCTGAACCAGAGCTGCCCATGGACCATTTCGTTATTCCAGAACTCAAACTTTGGGTGGGAAAGGCTTTGTTAAGTTTTTTCTAGATGCTGGGGTATTTTATTTTTTTGTAGCAAAAATTTCTGTTCTTCACAAAATTTTCCCTGTTCCTTAACAAAAATCTCATCTCTTCACTTTATCTGGTGACAGTGTTAAAACCCAGCCGGTGCCGCTTGGTTGAGTGATGAGTTTTAGGTATAATCACAAGGGGGGTTGTGTTTTACACAAAACTGCTGTTTTACAGCCCCAGGGGAAAGAAAAATGGGGTGGTTGGTGTGGCAGAACCATTTCCAGCGTGCTGCCCAGGGCATCGTTTCCAGTCACTAAGTCAGACTGTTGCTCTGTCCCCTTCTCCTTGCTGCTCGTGTTGTGCTGCGCAGTGAAGTACTCGGGATACCTGGAGTATGCGGATGAGCCCTTCTGCACCAACTGCTACAGGAAGGTCCCTCGCCTGATGAAACTTGGAAAAGGTAAATGGGGGCTGTGAAACTTGTTCTGGGACCTGAGAGTTTGAAAGACCTGCCCTTTAGGGCATATTAGTTTAGACTCTATTTGGTCCCTTTAGACCATTGGAAGCCTTTAAAGATCCTTGCAGGTGTTGGTTAATCCAGAGTCTTTTAACTTTGGGAGTCAACAGCAGGTGCTATGGGTGTTCTTGCTGGGTGCTTAATACATGTCCTGAAACAAGCACTATCTTAATGGTTTAATGTCACCTGAGAGGTGTTGATGCTTGCTGCTTGCTTGTTCCCGTGGCTGATGGCCTCGGTAATCCAAGCATGAGGAGCAGCTGTATGTGAGCACAAGCTGTCATCATGGTGCTGAATTGACTTTTGCAGTTGATCGGCTTTGAATTACCAAGATTTCCCCTCTAGGCTTTAAGAGAAATTCAATGTCGAGGAGGGAGGGCTCTGCTTTCTCATGACCTTCTGTTTCTTGGTGTGACAGACATTACGCTCTGGGGGCTAGAAGTCGGCCTGCTCACCATGAGGAAGGGAGAACTGGCGAGATTTGTCTTTGCGCCCGATTACGCCTATGGGAAGCTGGGCTGTCCTCCCCTCATCCCCCCAAACGCCACGGTCTTGTTCGAGGTGGAGCTGCTCGACTTTCTGGACTCGGCGGAATCGGACGGATTCTTTGCTTTGACTGCTGTGAGTTGCCTTGTTAAGGCTTGAGATGCAAATCTGGAGTTGAAAACTTTATTTCTGCTTTGTCAGAAGCCTTCTGATTTCACTAGAGGGCACCAGCTTCCAGGGAGTTCTGTGAAGCAGCAGGAACAGTAACTAGCTCTTGAGAAGAATAAAATCTTGTTAGGTTGCTGCATCAATTTGCCCCTCCTCTCTTTTCCCTTCTCCCCCTCTGCCTCCTTCCCCCAGTTTTTGTTTTTGCTTCTTGGCTGCTGTCCCGAGTGCTCCTTCACGGTTCGCTTTCCTCCCCGGTGAATTGCAGTGTGATTGTTAGTTCCCCCTTTTCACACAGAAAGCTTTGGGCTGTGGTTGTGGGTCAGTGGTCGGGGCACAGGCAGCAACGCTGATGGAAGGAGGCCCTTTCTCTTCCCCTGCTGCTGTTGCAGAGGCCCCTCTTTCCACAAGTGCCTCGAGATCAAACCGCTCTGTCGTTGCTGCAGTCGGTCTTCCACCCCTTCCTCGCGGCTGGCTGCCCTTTCTGGCTAACTCAGAGCTAGTTTAAACTCCCAGACCTAGGAGAAAACCTGTCTCTCGCTTTTCGGGGCGCCTGGCCAGCCCCAGAAGTAGCTTTTGGGCTGGCTTTGTGGTGCTCCTCACCAGGCCTTGTCTGCACAGGGTGACCAGGGACTTGTTGCAGCCTGGGGATGGGAAATGCCAGAGGGCAGTGGCCTGACGGCCAAGACGGGGCCTTGGCAACACTTTAGCTCTTGTTGCGGGCATACGAGAGGCCTGCAAAGGGCTTTCCTGCCATGATCCCTGCCAACTTGAATTGACACACAGGTATTTTCCTCGTGCAGGAACAGCAGGGAATGTTTCCGCTACAAAAGGTGTTGAAAGTGGCAGACACGGAGCGCGAGTTCGGCAATTACCTCTTCCGTCAGCAGCGCTTCCCGGATGCCAAAGACAGATACAAAAGGGTAGGACACGAGGAAGTTTTCTCCGTGGCCTGTGGAAGTAACAATTATTGAGTGCTAACTCACCGTAACAAGTGTGAGTTTGAGAGCAAATGCTTTAATTATACTTTCCAGGTGTAGTTTATTATTTAAGAACGTTTCTTAAATGCCTGGTTTTGTGTGAGCACCGGTGGTAAGTGAATGGCACTGAAGGAGGAGAAGGGATGGCAGAAATACGGTGACCTCTTCTTTTTCCCTAAGCTGCACAGCTGCTGAGCTCCAGCTGTGACAGGAGAGGGTATCTTGGTGCCCTTATGAGCTCGGAGCAGTTTACTTGATTGCTTTGGCTGCTGAGCTGGAGCCCTTCAGGCCAGCTTTCCCTAGGAGAGGGTGTGATGCACTGTGGTCTTGTATTGCAGTGGCAGTCTGGATCAATGCTTTCAGGAGTAATTTAGGACCCTTGTGCTCTGCAAAGAGGTGTCCAGTCACCTGAGTGCTTTAGCTTTACTTTTAGCCTCCTGGGAGAGACAATTTTCTAATTTTTTCCCCCTGAACTGGAAACTTGTGAGACTTTTCTGTCCCCCATTGATTTTTTTCTTACTATTTCTTTCTAAGCAAGAATATTTTAAATGATCTTTCTCCAATTTGATTTCCCTTATATCTTTGCCCTTAAAATCTGGTATCTGTGTGTAATTTTTTCCTCTTTTTAGTTCCTTGATATGTTCATAAAGCTGTATTTTACATTTAGGAAGATAGGATGCTTTTGGCTGAGCTGGCTAGTCATGCTGATAATGCCATGCAGTAGCCTTGTGATTTTGTGAGATTTTTTAACTGGCCTAGATAAATGGAAACATGGATGTAGCTGGCCGATCAGATACATCTTTTACTTTTCATTACAAACCCATCGTGTGCTGGTGTTGTTTCCCTGTTTGCTCAGGCTTACTCCGTCCTACGTCGCAGCCCTTGCAGCGAGGCAGAGCAGTGTCAGATTGACGCTTCGAAGTTGCTGGTGCTCCTCAACCTCTCACTTACCTACCTGAAACTGGAGCGTCCTGCCCAAGCTCTGACCTATGGAGAAAAAGCTTTGGAGATCGACCAAAGAAATGCCAAAGCTCTGTTCAGATGTGGCCAGGTGAGCAAAAAGAATTCCTCTAGCAGATGCATCAAGCACTGTCCCAGTTCAGCTGCCGCTGGGGGTACCTGCAGTATACTGAAGAGAACCACTAAATTCTGGCCAGGGCTTTAAGTTCCTAGAGCAGGTAGTGGTTTGTCTGCATTTGACCTGCTGGAAAGTCTGGTCTTCTGCAAATCTGTCACAGCCCTTTGCTTAGGGGATTCCTGAACTACCTGGATCCGTCTCAGAAATGTTTGTGGTTGTGCATGTTTCGATCCTGAAGAACGGGAGCGAGTCTATATTTATCCTTCGATGTATCTGTCTTCTCTCAATGACAGGCTTGTCTCTGCATGACAGAATATGAAAAAGCCCGGGATTTCCTGGTCAGAGCTCAGCACATACAGCCGTTCAACCATGATATTAACAACGAGCTGAAAAAGTTGGCAAGGTGAGAGAACTCCTTCTCATTGCTGTGGAAGAGGGGGTGTTTAGATAGTCTGAAAGCACCCACTCAAAAAACTCGGGTGTATGTTAAAGAAAATAATTATTGGGGCTAGTAAGGGACTGGGGAAAATCCAGATCTGTTTAGCATGGAGGAGGTTGGTTCAAATACTTTACAGCCACATCGGCTACAGGAGATATGTGAGAAGCTGAGAGTATCCACACTTTCTGTGCAGGTTCCCTGCGGGGGTATCTGTGTTGTACTTCATGTGAGTAGGTGGGTCAGGCCGATGACAGAAAAGCAGGGGCTGCTGAACTGTCTTGAAACCAATGAAATACTGTAGGTTAGAGCTCATGGTAATAACATGCTGAAATAATAAGTGTGGCTTCAATTTCCTCAAGGACAGTGGTGGATTACAGCAGTTCTTCTGTACTGCAAATGCTACACTGTACAATGCTACAAATACTAATGTTAGTGTGTAGGAAGGTCTTGAAAGTGAATTCCTTGCTGTCTTGGAGGCAGTAAATGAGCAATCCTGAAGGCAAACCTTCTCTTTGCTCACAGGCTGAATACAGTGCAATCCTGCCAGCCTTAGTCATGTCTTTAGTCCCACCAAAATATGACTAACACTAATCTCCATCCTCATTCTTTTCAGCAAAAGCACTAGCTAGTTCCCGAAAATGCATGCTGTACTTCTGGCACTGCTGACAGATGCAGAGTGCAACAAATCCCCAGCTTCAGAGATCACAAAATGGCCCTTGAATGGGAACATTTTCCTTTGCTGCACATGTCTAACAGTGACACATGGCTTGTAGGGAGCTGCAACATCTCTTGTTAGACCAGTTGGTGCAGTGGAAAAAGCCAGTCTCACTGTGGGCTGAGTCCCTTTGCCAGGTAACACTCAGTTAAGAGCTGTTCACACATCTGTGTCTTGTATAGCAAAATGTCCTTTAATAGTCTGTGACAACATTAAGTCTCCAAACTTTTCCTGTGACCGCGGAAGTATGAAGAATGTGAAGACAATATTAGTTGTCCATGTGGAAATCTGAAATGCAGCACTCATTCCTCCTAGTCCAGCTGTGGGCACATAGCTCCCAAACCACTAAGTAAACACAAATAGTTTTTAAATTGCTCAGAATGACTAGGTAGCTCCTCCAGGAGGCATGTGGATGGTGTCGAGGACTCACTGGTGCTAGACATACTGATTCTAGCAGCCTCGTGCGTTATCTTAGACTCATTCCAAATGCATCAACTGGTAGAAGATAAGGCCGGGCTGGTCCTGCCGGGAAGCAGTGAGGCATTCCGGCTGCAGGGAAACGGCGCGTGGGTTTGGCACTGGAAATGGCACAAACAAATAACAGGCCCTGCAGCAACCTGAATGCATGAGTACCCCTTCAACCACCATCATCTTGGAGTTTCTGCCTCAGTGCCACTTAAAATTGGAGAGATTTTTTTTTTCCTTTTTTGCTTTTTACTATGACAAAGGGTGAAATTAGCATGAAGTAGTTAGAGATGATGTTATCGGATGTTGTTAGCTGTGCCACACCTCAGTCTAGAGCTCTGTAATGTTGCCAAACCACACTGCTTGTGAAAACCCCTAATGTGATCTGGCAAATGTTTCAAAAATAGAATATGAATCAAAATCTTGTTCTTAAAGTCTTTCCACTTACTGAGTACATTTATACTTTGGGAGAAAAAAAAAAAACAACTGTATGTTAATAGCTTGCTTTTGCTGTTGAAAACAGAACGTAGAAAGGCATCCATGTAAAAGCTGAACATGATTTTTAGCAAAATTCGCTTTTACCTGAGAGAAAGAAGCTGATCCTGGGCCAGGGTGTTGGGGAACATGTCTAGTACCAGCTGTAGTGGTTTTATTTTATAGTCTTGTAGGTCTTGAAGTTGCCGGCAGTTTTATCAAATTTTATCAATTCCAGAATAAAATGCAGTTCTGACATCCAGCATGCAATTCTGTCCCCAAATGAGTAGCTCTGGGGTTTCCTGCTCCAGTAGGTGATGATTTCAGTGCCAAGTGCCTGCTGCTTGGAGGCCAGGTAGGCTCTCTGGTCTCTGCTTGGCATACGCAGACATGACAGTGTGTGTCTGCAAGATTGAAGAGATTTGCTGTGCTGAGATTCCTCTGAATGAAACGCTTAAAGTTCTGGACACAGAGGGGCTGGTAGGGGGACACTGACTGAGAGGACGTGGCTGATGTCACACAACGTGCTCTGGTGTGTGGAAGCAGAAAGTTTGCTTTGACCTTACACGGTAGCAAAGGCAGTAAAGTTGCTTAGTCTGGCAGCAGTTAATTGCTGGGACAGGGTCCAAATGGAGTCACCCTCTTGGTCAGGGGTTCCTCCCCAGAGAGGCCCCACTCGCGGCGAGGTAGGGACGCGGGACGGGGAAGAAACCGGGCTCCCCCCCAGCACCTTGTGGCACTGCTTGGAGAAGCAGTGGTTAAAATGGAGGGAGTTTTGCCCTGCGGGTGTGACTCTGTGACCCACATGTCCTGTGCCTGTGTCCGTGCAGTCCCCTCCCCATCCTCTGACCAGATCTGAGAGGTCCGTGGTCACTGTACCTTACCAAGGAGCAGGGCACTGAGGGAGCTGCTTCCACAAGAATTGGCAGAAGTGTAGAAGACACCAAATTAGGCTGTAGGATACAGGAGGGGGATTCCTCTGCATCATACGCTTGCAAAACTGCCTTAGAAAGCATCTGACTGGCAAAAATGAAATAATCTAATTGGCTGGTGGTCACCAGCAGAGCAGAGCCCCAGGGTCTGTGATGAGGCACAGTGTTGCCACCCATCATACCTGGCAGAAACAAGGGCTTGGAGCAGCGCTGTTCCAGTGCTAGCTGTATGGTCTAGATTCAGTTAGTTTATTTAACAACAAAAAGGAAAACTTCTATTTGCAACACTGGTCGTTGAGCAGACGGCCCCAGCCCATGACATCGCGGTGTGCTCTGCTTTGCAGCTGTTACAAGGACTACGTGGATAAGGAGAAAGAAATGTGCTGCCGGATGTTTGCCCCCCTCAACTCTTCTCCTGCCTGACCAGAAATAAAGGTAACCAAACCATGAAAAAGGCTGAGGTCTCCCCAGACTTCTGCTCTGTTGCCTAGACAGTGTTTTTGGGTAGGGAACCAGTTTCTCTTCTGCACAGGAGGGTTTTAGAGGCAAAAGGTAACCCGAAGGGGCAGGAAGGTAGGGCAAAAGGCTACCATGGGTCTGCTTGGAGGATCTTTCCTACTGAGCAAACTGGCATGGGACAGGAACCTGAGCCTGGCAGCACTTGGGTAAGTTTCGTTTTGTTGTTTCCTGTGCTGCTCATCCCAGCTATTCCCTCTCGGAGCCAGGGGGAGAAATAGCCATGTAGTCCTGTTTCCCTGCCAATTAAAAGAAACAAACAAACAAAATGTTTCTGTCAAAGTTAAGAATTGGACTTCCTCCTCCCTTCCAGCACTCCTGTCTCGAGCTACTGGAGTGCTTCACTTGTGAAAAATCTCAATATTTTATTTCTGGCTTTTTTTTTTTTAATATTAAAAAGCCTGTTTGTATAGAAAATTTCAGATAGCTGTTTTGGTCTCTCTAAAGTCTTAAATCTTCTAGCAAAATTGACAGGGTTTATAAATGCACAAAGGCTCTTTGATCATTCTCTTTTTTTGTCAAAACCTTGGGAAGGGGGGAGGAACTGGAGGGGGAAGTGGAAATCTTCACTGGTCTCTCGCCTCAGGGTAAGCCCTCGGGAAAGGGTTGTGGAAAATGACAGCAGCCTTCTGTCAGAAAGCAGCAGCTGAGGGCCTTCAGGGTTTGCTGCCGTGCAGTCTCACACAATAACAGCAATATTTTGCTGGAAATGAGTATTAGCAGCCTCTCCATCCCAAGCAACGAGGATGCAGCCGTGGCGTTTTCAGCTCGACTCTGGATTCTCTTCACTGCCTGACAAGAAAGACAGACTGCAGACAAGAAGAACTAGTATTTGAGGAAGAGGTTTCACTGAGTGGCTGCTTCCTAAAGCAACGCATTGTGTTCCTGAGCCTGTGTGCATCCTTGCTGTAGTTTTTACCCTTGCTATGTTCCCCAGGCCCCGATCTCAGCTGAGCATGTTGCTAAACTGCTTAAGAAGGCAAATTCTTCTACTCCAGGTTCATAGGGAGACCGGCCAGACCTATTAACAGGTACCTGTCCCTGGGCGAGCAGCTCTGAACGGGGTTTTATGACTGACACGTGGTCTTGCCGGAGGTATGCAGGAAGCCCAGACATCTGCACTTGGCAAAGAGGCTCCGAGTCCATTTGCTGAATTTCAGTGACTTGGAAACCTCGATGACTTGTGTCTCCCATTTCTAACTGTAGCGCTTAGCAGGGCCTCACCTGGGAAACTTGTGCCAATCTGTGCCCTGCTTCATCTTGGAACTTGAAATGGACCTGATCTTCTCCTGGGTCATGAGAAAGAGCTACCAGAACAGAAACCTCTGGTAGAGGGGAGTTTTTCCTGAGGAATTTTAAGTGTTAGGCTGAGCTGGTTGTCAGACAGGGCTTTTCTGCTGGCTCCTGCAAGTGTTAGACTCTTTGCTGGAGTTTTGCCTCTCGACACAGGTGATTGAGGGCTCTCAGTCATAGAGGTGTTTCACTTTCACTCAACTCAGTTTTAGTAACGTTTTACAAATAAGTCTTCCAGATCGCAATTAATCACTGACATCTACATAGCACACTATAATGCTTATTTGCTGCTCTTAATTCATCTTAAGAAGAGTCTCTCATACATGGAATTGCAGAGTGGTTGAGGTTGGAAGGGACCTCTGGAGATCACCTAATCCATCCCCCCTGCTCAAGCCACTGGAATCTAGTACTTAGTGATAAGGTGGCCTGTAAGCTTTGCCTGTAACGAGCCAGCAGGATTACAAAAGTTGTGGAAAACTTTCCTGTTTCCAGCTGGCAGGTGCTTGCTAAGCATTGTGCTGACCAGCTGTCCGGCTTAGAGTTGTAGCTTTGACACTACCTCTCTTGTGGCACACTGTTAAATCTCTCTGATTCAAAGCTCCTACCCAGGTAGGTTTGATACTTGTTTTGGTGAATTCTGCAACGCTTATTTTGTTAAGGGAACAAATGGTTTGTTTCTCTGTACTAAGCAGTTAAAGGCTGTGTTATATTTCCTGTAATGACACTTAAGATACCCAAGGGTTGCACACTTGCCCCTCTGTGTGTTTGGGTTGCTTGCATGTGCCTAGACACCTGTGTGGGCAGGTTGTTTGGTATGTGCACAGCTGAATACTTCTATTGTCCTCTTAAACTGCAGACTGTGGATGGGCCGAGGACCACTGGCTTGCTGGAGCACAGCTTTTTGGTGACAGAATGCTAAACCCTGGAAAAAAAATAACTGCTGTAGTCATCTGTGAGCAAGAGAGGATTTAATCATGAAGGGTGCAGACAAATTCCTTAGAAATGTCTGGATTCTGGGCTGTGGTGATGGTTTCATTTCAGAATGGTGAGCCTCGCCGAGTGCCCCCATGCCAGGCTGACAGCTTGTGTCCAGCAGGCATCTCCGCTCCAGGACACTGGAGAAGCGGAGAGTGTGCGGGGAAGTGTTCCCGGGAAAACAGACAGTACTGAAACTATGGCAGGAAACTCTGAGGTCAAGCTTGAGATTGCTACAAATAGCAGGGCCTAGCAATTTTGAAGCCGTTATTTGGTGAGAGTTGGCTGCAGAACTGGGACTGTGTCGCCAGGTAGAAGTGAGTATAATTGGGCTTAAAACCAGCAGCAGTTGCCAGTTAAACTGACCTAATAAGCTAAAAGAGACTTGCAAATAAGCTGGGAAGTATGCACATAATACAGTCAAAACTCCTGACTTAGGAAAGCTCCAGTCTTTGAGTAAACAGCAACTTGCTGCTTTCCCTCCTACTTTCCTGTATTTCTGAGCTGAAGATCTAAAATATCCCTCCTGCTGGTGCTGTCCCTACCCACTGTGCGATGCTGAACAACACAGAACCCAGCAATTTCACTTCTTCTGTAGAGAATGCAAATTATTGTACCACAGAGATGTCCTGTGTTGTGAAGGAAATTCTGTTAAGCATCTGCGTTATGCTAAGTATTGCTAGAGCTAGTGGGAAGGCTTGAAGGATGACTTAATTAAGCATTCTCCTTGCTAAGCAAAGGAAGAGGAGCTTTAATAAGGTGGTTGGTGCTTTTTTGTTTGTTTGTTCTTGTTCAGATCTCCTCCTCCTCTGGCATCTCCCCTTTTGCAGAGTTCTGCAGTTGAAGTTTATGGTAGTGCCTGTAACAGCTTACGAATCTTCCAGAAAGGTGAGGTCTCTCCCCAAAAACTGCAAGTAGCGACTGCGTCACCTCGACTCTATGGATCCTCTGCCACAAGTTTCCCAGTGACTTGTGCTAGACCTGGGTGTTTGATTTGTTACAAATCAGGTAACAGATCAGACAGCAGGTTTGGGCAAAAAGTGGACGGGGAGAGAAGTGAGGACAGGGACCAGTAGGTTGGTGTTGGATACCTGCACCTGGGGTATACTGTGCTGTTGGAGGCTTAATGTATTTTTAGAAACGTGGAAGCTTGTTTACAAAAGGCCTTGATGAGGGCACATACCTCGCTAGAGGTGGCTTTACCCAGACCTGGAGGTCTGAGCTGGGCTTAGGAGTGAAAAGATCATCTGAAAAGGAAAGGAGAGAGACCCTGGCAGTATCCCACGGGCTGCGCTGCAGGGCTGGTGCGGTGATGCCCTCTGGGCTGACCCAAGGGCTGCCTCGGGCCCTAGCCCTGGGCCATCACTCTTAACTTTGCTTGCAGCAGCAAGGAGGTGAGTGACTATTTGAAGGCTTTGCACAAAGCACCGTTTTTAAAGTCTCCTTTCTCTACCTGTGTGTTGCTGTGATAAGCTACGTGAAGTGGAAGTGTTTTGTTGCTTTAGAGGGCAAAGAGGCAAACTGGATAAACCTACCTCGAGCATGCACTGACCGGAGAGGCCTTGGCCCGGAACCTGCTGCAGGTGTGTGGCTCGTGCTGGGGATCGGGGTACGGCTGAAAGGTGCTGCTGGCTGAGGCAGAAGCCCCCGGTGCTGCTTCTGCTTCTTGCCACGTTGCTGCCAGTGCCGTGAGCAGCTCTCCAGGGGCTCCTCCCATTGGAAGTGGCAGACGGGCAGCACTGACAGATCTGGCCGCCGGGTCAGGTCCCGATCAAGAATGCTGCTAACTTTCTCCTTGAACTAGTAGAAGAAGTGTCTGTCAAACCCCATTTAGTAGTGTATGGGGATGCACCACCTTGAACTGCAAAAAAAGGGCCTTTTTCCGTGTAATGACAGTGGGCTTGTCCTTCCTAGCCTGGTTTCTTGGAGTGCTGTGGGTATGGAGAAGTGGAACCAAGCCAGTGGATAGTGCTCTGGAGCTGGGAGGATGTTAACTGCCTCTGAAGAGGGAAAGATGGTTCTTACTGCATCATGAGCAGAAACACGGAATTATCTCATCGTGATGTGCATGAACTTAGGCCAGCCCTGGCCAGGCTGTTGTCCCTGTTGATACCAGCAGCACTGGGAACCATCGGTGTTACTGAATGTCTTTGTGTCTCCCCAGTTCAGCCTCATGTTGCTCAGAAGAGCTCTGTGACCAGGACCAGGCACCAGAGCCGGTAACAGCAGTCAGGAGCAGGAGTGCCTAGGCCTGAACAAAGCTAATACACGACAAGAAAAAACTCCAACTGATGGTGGTGCAAACTGTGCCCTCGTGGCTGATTCTGGGAGGGGAGTCTAGACTAGATGGTGACTTGAACGGTACCAGGGCAGTTGTTATGTCCAGTTAGTAGCCATAGAGCTTGGCCACGGGACAGCTTTTATGATTCTCAGTGCCAAGGGGCAGCAAGCACTAATGACTGTGTCACATCTGGGGATGCTGCTCTTGGGAAGACCCTCGCTGAAGGGAGCGCCTGGCGCTGCTGTGAGCTGCTTCACACGTCCACAGAGAAGATGGATGTTGCTGCTCCCTCTGCAGCAGTGGGAGAGGGGACCCTTCTGCGCCCTTCCCAGACCTGTTCTGCTTTATCAAGGAACTG